TCACTGTCAAATCAGGTTGGGGCAGCCTCTAATTTAGTTGTATCCATATAGTAGATGCAGACATAGAAAGAGAGATTTATTAAAGTGTTGCGCTCTAAAAAGAGTTACAAAGTTGTAAAAGTGGATTAGCCATCAATGAAATATGTCTGCGGGACCCAATGGCTTCCGTAGTGTTTGCCCCACTTTTAGAACTCGCCCACAGAAAGTAGACCGAATATCACCTTTCTTTGCTTTATATACCGACAGGTTTGTGAGCCTCCACAATTATGTCCCACAAAATTAAAAATGCAATGTTTCTGCTTCTATTTATTCATGAAGATAAAAGTAAGAGAAGCCATAAAATTAAATCATTTTCAGGTGCAAAAAATAAAATAAATAAAAAAATAAACGATTGGTAAAAATATATATTAATTTAATAAGCTACTGAAAATGTAACCTAAAAGAAGAAACATTACAGAAAAAATGCAAATATCAAAAATCGTGCACAATAAATGGATAATTCATTCCAGATGAGACATCCCAGAAAAGGCAGAAATGATTAATTAGCCCTTTGAGAAATCTTCCCTGTAGTATCTGTAGTTCTGTTGACCAACAGTTGAGAAGTCCATAGATTATTTGGCCACATCTGAGAATCATAGCCCAGAATGAGAGAGCAAAATGACCTAGCTGAACCCACATTTGTAAGACTACGATTCCCATCATCCTTTATCATTCACAAACTGGCTGAGGGAATTGGGAGCTATAGTCCAACCACAGCTATAGAGCTCCACTACTTGGCTATCTAAGCAGGAGATTTAGAAGGTTTATGTTTAAATCCATTACCAAGTCAAAAATGAACGCTAAAGGCACTTTCATTGAACCAAAGAAAATTAATAAATAAAACTTTCTGTGCAAACCAATGTTCTTTTTCCTCAGATGTGAAACCGGGAGACTTTATTAAATAATCCATTCTTGCAAGCAGACATTTATTTTATTGTGATTTAGTTCTGCCATCAAGCGACCTAGTTGATATGCTTTTTTAATTGTTACATAACTTTAGATCATAAATGGCTAAGTATTTAAAAATCAAAAATTCGCCGTAACTGGTTAATCAGATGACTGTACTGTGTAGGTCTGAATGCAATATAAGAAATCTGTCACTATAGTTTTCAAATGTTGGATAATGTCTCCTTTATACATACAAGCATAGTCAGTGATATATTAGCTATTTGTAAAACACTGCTTTGGTTCAGAAGCTACTGAATAAAACCTGGGAGGCAACGGAATTCTCCCTGAATGTGTCGTGAATTGCGAGACTCATTATGTACATGCAAGGGTTTATTCTCTAAGCTCTGAATTTTGGAAAATTGAAATCCAACAAGCAATATTTTGGCAACAATAGTTCATTTGGAAAAAAAAAATCTCTAATTACAAAGTTTCAATTTTGTTATACAATAAGAATAAACAGTAATAAAACAAAATACAAACAATAAAAAAACTGGGGAATGATGACATGGGTGTTATCATCCATTAGCAGAAATACAGCAATCTAATAGTGCTTAATCATCACGGTGCAAAATGTTTTGTGCTGCTCGTAACATGAAAATATATGCAAATGGTCAAGTGGAGATCATGAACGCAGATCATACATCTTGCTATTTTGATTTCAACTTGTGAAAAAATCATGCACGTTCAATTTGGAGCATTGGGAAACCCTAAATTAAAGGCAAAGACCTCGTACCTACAGGACCTGCATACATTGTTAAAAACCAAGCAATACTAAGCTAATATGGTGCATTTAACGGAATCTACACCCTTTTAAAGAACAACCCAGATCTCCAGTCCTGTTACATTCTTATCAATATAATTTGTGAGGTTTCTTTCAGCCCAAGTTATATGGATAGATTAGATCTTACACCTCAAAACTCCAATCAGTGCACTGCAAAATACAGCTGTGCTCAAGTTTGCATACCCATAGAGAATTGGTCATATATGAACCATTTTAATGTGTGAGCAGGCAAAACACATTTATTTTATTTCTTATTGGATTCATCTTCAACTGTAGGTTATAACAGAATTGCACAATCATAAAACAAAGCATGGCAACAAAGAAATAAATGAAATGACCTGTGTTCAAAAGTCTGCATACCCTTAGTTTTTAATACTGTGTATTACCCCCTTCAGCATCAATGACAGTGTGCAGTCTTTTGTAATAGTTGTCCATGAGGCCCCGAATTTTTGCAGGTTGTATAGCTGCCCATTCGTTTTAGCAAAATGCTTCCAAGTCATGCAAAGTCTTTGGTCGTCTTGCATGAACCGCACGTTTGAGATCTCCCCAGAGTGGCTGGACGATATTAAGGTCAGGAGACTGTGATGGCCACTCCAGAACCTTCACCTTTTTATTCTGTAATGACTAGAGGGTTAACCTGGTCTTGTGCTTGGGGTCATTGTCATGCTGGAAAGTCCAAGAGTGCCCCATGCGCAACCTTCGTGCAGAAGAATGCAAATTGTCTGCCAGTATTTTCTGATAACATGCTGCATTCATCTTGTCATTAATTTTCAGAAGATTCCCCATGCCTTTAGAGCTAACACCCCCCCCTCCCAAAACATCAGTGAGCCACCATCATGTTTCACAGTGGGGATGGTATTCTTCTTACTATAGACCTTGTTGACCCCTCTCCACACATAGTGCTTATGGTTGTGACCATAAAGATCTATTTTGGTCTCATCACTCCAAATTACAGTGTGCCAGAAGCTGTGAGGCGTGTCAAGGTGTTGTCGGGCATACTGTAACCGGGCTTTTTGTGGCATTGGCACAGCAAAGGCTTCTTTCTGGCAACTCGACCATGCAGCTCATTTTTGTTCAAGTGTTGTCGTATTGTGCTCCTTGAAACAACCACACTTTTTCTAGAGCAGCCTGTATTTCTCCTGAGGTTACCTGTAGGTTTTTCTTTTTATCCTGAACAATTCTTCTGGGAGTTGTGACTAAAATCTTTCTTGGTCTACCTGATCTTGGTTTGATATCAAGAGATCCACAAAAATTCCACTTCTTAATAAGTGATTGAACAGTACTGACTGTCATTTTCAAGGCTTTGGATAACTTTTTATATCCTTTTCCATCTTTATAAAGTTCCATTTCCTTGTTACACAGGTCTTCTGACAGTGCTTTTCTGCCCCCCCCCGCCTCCCCCATGGCTCAGTATCTAGCCTGCTGAGTGCATCCACGGGAGAGCTAACAAACTCATTGATGACTATTTATACACAGACACTAATTTCAATTTAAAAACCCACAGGTGTGGAAAATGAACCTTTAATGATCAGTCACTTTTTGGCACAACTGTATATACACACTATAAATATTAAATACAATAAAAAATAATTATATCATATTTTTTTTAATATATATATTTTTTATTTTTTCCAGTACACTTAAAGGAGCATTTCCCCACTATTTGGATCACCATTTTCAGTCCCAGAAAAACAGAGGGAAAAATAATAGGAGCAGAAAAATTATTATAAAAATATAATACATAAGTATACGTTTTGTTTACTACTCCTCCAATGGTCACTTCTCACTTGATCGGTGAAAAAAAATCAACATTATGTTACTGTCCCCTAGCCATCAACCATTTTTCGCATTAACTATCTCTATCGACATTTGCGAAATTCAGAAAAACTAATCAAAACAAACATGCTTGGCCATTTCACATTTTGTGTGGCTAATTATGTGGCTACATTTTGAAGTTCAGGAATTTAACTGATCACCCAATCAGCCCAAATTCAGAACAAAAGGAATCTCCAAGTCTAATGTTTTTTTTTTTTTTAATATTCTTTTTTTTTTGTTGCACATATAAAATACAGTGTAAGACTGCCTCGCCACAACAGCGGAGCTGACTTTGCATTTGCAGACATGTTATGACAGTATCATATCATTGACAGTGTGTGCATATAATTTTATATTATTAAAATAAGTATGTCATGCTGTGCCTAAATGTTTAGGTTGGGATGTCGGATTCCATGTTGCCAGGCTAATGGTACACCTAACCGTTTATAGGGTGAGTAAGTTGGGAGTAAGGTCTAGGTAGACTGAATACAAAAAAAAAAATAATAATAATAATATAAGGATAAGAACTGGGTGAGTCTTATAGGCTTATAGCTACCCTAAACATTTGGATTCAGCTTGTGTCTCTGGATTTTGCTATACTGAGCCTAATGGTAGGTATAAGGTGAGCTGGTGGTTCTGTGGGCTTACTCGTGGGGAACATATGCACTCTCCTGGGAGGTCTAGAGTGAGGTGGCCGTTGGAACGTGTATGTGTCTATTGTTCCCTAGGGTGTGAGATATTCTCTGTTAAGATTTAATGCGGGTGGCAGCGCTGGGGAGGGACGCGTTCCTGGCGGCCAGTCAGTGGCTTTTCGTTTCTGTGTGGGGAGGGCATGGGAGGGGGTGCTCAGTAACCCTTGAGCGTGGGGGGGTTGTGTATGTAGTCGGCCTGTCTGTCCTTGTGGAGTAAAATTGGAGCCTTTGAAAATTATAGAAACAACATAACAATATAACGCTGGCTAATCATGCTGTGAAAAAAACTGTAAATTATAAGTGTTAACCGTATTGCTATTGATTGCCAGTCCATCGGCTAACTCTCCTGTGAGAGAGTGAAGGTAAGTCCCAGTCCTCTTGTTGTGTCTCAGCCTGTGTCGGCTTCGCAGCGAGGTACAAAGGGGAGTATGTTAGGTACGTCCCAGGAATGTCCAGGGGTAGGGGCTTTCTTCTTGAGGCCTGTGAGTCCCAGACTGCGAAGGAAGGAGTCGGCATCTGTGTGCGGCATCTACCAGTGTGCGAGATGGGCCCAATCTGTACTGGACGCTTGCTTCTCGGAGGGTCTTGGTGACCTGGTAAACTGATCGCCTCCACTCCAACGTTGCTCTGCATAGATCCTGTAGGAAGGTGAGTTGGGAGTCTTCAAATGGAAGTGGGCACTTGTTTTTAACGGCATCCATTACGGCCTGTTTATCTCGGGTGGTCTAGAAATGGAGAAGGACATCACGGGGTGCGTCCGCTGGTGCCCTGGGAGACTTGGAGAGTCTGTGTATTCTGTCCACTTGTAGGGTCTTCGCCTGCTTGGGTTGCATAATCTCAGATATAAGGTGCCGGATAAAGTGGGGTAGCTCTCTGTCATTAACTGTTTCTGCAATGCCTCTGACTTTGACGTTGGCACGTCTCCTGGCATCGTCCATTGCGTCCACTCTGGCCTGTAAGGCCTGGTGTGAGCCCTGGAGTTGTCGTATTTGCTCTGTTGCACTTGTTTGTTGCTGTGCTATGGAGGAGATATCCTCCTCTGTGGCTTTCACCCTGTCTGTTACGGCCGTGACCTCCTCGCGAAGCAGTGCTATATCCGTACGGAACCAGGTGGGCAGGTGTTTCAGGAGGCCCAGAATGTCTCCTTTAGTTGCTGGGGCCCCGAGGTCACCTACTTGTATGGCCGAGAATGGGTCATCTGCTTCGGGGATGGCGTCCGGGGAATCCAGTGGATCCTCTTCCGAGGAGTGGCCTAGGGATTCAGGCATCGCCACCATTTTGATTTTAGGCCGCGCCAGAAATATGTCCCCTATTCTTCTTGTGCCCTCGTCTGAGTGGGCCTTTAGTTTCTTTGTTCGTTTTCCCATTGTTTGGGGCAGTTGGGTTGTCGATTAGTTGGTACGGCACTGCTGATTTTTGGGGTTAATTCTTGAATTTTGCTGTTTTCGGCCCGGAGCCCTGCCGACATGCGACTGCTCTCTGTTGCTGTCAGGCTCCGCCCCCCCAAGTCTATTGTTTTAAAGTAAGTAGTATTGTTATTACTGGCAATTATATAGCACTCAATTATTCAATATTACAGTATATCTATGGAATCTGCCAAAAGAATGTGTTGCCTCTTTAACGTTTAGAGAAGGAAGCAGGCATATTGAGCTGCATTTTTTAAGAGGAGATTGTGACTGATAGTAGAAGTAATCTGACTGTGATTCCGGGACTGGAAATAATGTTTTGCGCCCACTCAAATTCATTGTAACAATACATTTTATTTTAGATTGGCTTGTTTTCTTCTGGAAAGATATAGGGAAAAAGCTGAACTTTATAGACATTATTTCACCGAAAAGGTGACTTTACCAACGAAGTCAATTTTTAAATCAAACAAGGAATAATTTGTATGTATGGGCTTTACTATTAATTACTTTATAGAGATTTTATTTGTTGTTGTTTGAAATGCCTAAACTCACATGTATAATACACATATGAAAAAAGACATCATTAAGCCTGTTGTTCTTGGCCCCCTTAAATACAACGGCTATAAATGCTGTCATCACAAAGAGCTTAAGATAAAGGATAAAGAGCCGGAATGAAATGTTTTACTGCAAGCAATGTACTCTGAGAACATTTCTGGAAATAACCTGAGCTGAGAAAATGTTCCCTGGGAAGTATACTCACTGTGGGAAACTGTATAGAAGATAATGCTGGTCAGTGACCTTCTCAGTGTACCTTAATCAAATAACACAGTAAAAGATTCAGCTGTTAAGGAAAAAGGAACTTGAAGACTTAGTGATGATTTACCCATCCAGATTAAACAAACTTTGTGTAAACAAAGGATAACGGCAGACATTCTGTTACGTTGCTCCATTGCTTTCTCATGCAAATAAAGAAGATGTTTACAAATGTGATACTTTCTATATGATTCAGTAATGTAAAGGATTAAATATATCACTCTACAGGAGGTCTTGAGCTTATGTTCAAATAGTAGAGAGACAAGGATTCACTAAAAGTCAAAGGGACATTATAGTCACCAAAACCACTAGAGTTACTTCCTGGTCTGTACCGCACAGTATTTCCTATGAAAAAGCGTTGGATTGGCTGAGATAGTCAAATTTGATAATCTCAGCCAAGGAGGTGGGGCCAGCCACGATGATACAAGTACAGTACTGGAAATAAGGTGAGTAAAATCACCTTTTTAAAAGGAGGCAAAGGGGGGTCAGATAATTAGCAGTTTTAGAACTATAGTATCAGGAATACATGTTTCTATTCCTGAATCTATACTGTTCCTTTAAGGCTTAGAATAAAAAGTAGCCAAAATGCATCCCGTGTGTGAAATATTATTGCAAAAGTACTGATACATATCTAATAAAAACACCCTTAAAAGACAGTGCAGTTTTATGCAGGTCAGAACACAAAGGATAACAAAGTAAAGACAAGTACAGATAGTCCACCAGCTGGTAATGAAAAATTCACGATAACATAGCTAGATTAAAACCATGTCTATAACAGCAAAATATGTTTTATAAGCAGATATTAACAGCAAATTCCAAGTTAGCAAAACGTTAATACAATTCCACAGATTAGGTTAGAAAAGGGTACAAGCAATCCAGGTGTCAACTAAAGGCCATCTTTCAAACCAGGAGATTTGTGAGAGGAACTGCCAAGAGGCCAACCATCACTTTGAAGCAGCAACAGAGTTCAGCGCCTTCGAGTGGAGTAATGCTACATCAATCATATACAGAGCTCAGAAAACACAGGAGATATTAGAGGATAGTAAAAAATGTTGCTCAAAACATACCATCTGACATCAATTCTGTAGTTTGTCAAAAAATATAGGAGTTCCCGATGATGTGATGTAAGAAAAGGTTTTATAGTCCAATGAGACTATGAGAGAGTTGTTTAACCAATGGTCAAAATACTAGGCGTGGCACAAAACTAACACTGCCAAAGACACCTACAGTGGAATAAAAGGGTGATCTTTGGAGAAACGTCTAATTGCTAAGGACTAAACATCTTGCTACAATTGATGGATATCCAGATAATCTGCACAACCTCAGGAAAATCTGTCTAGAAGGTCTCAAAAATCCATTGAATAGCACACAAAGCTGGTTTCTATGCCCTACGCATAAAATGGTTCAAATACATACCTGCTGCTGGAGATTACTCTCATTGGTTGCTGCAACATTACTGATAAGCTTGAGGCAGTTCTAATTGTTGAGGAGAGATAGACACTGTTGACCGATGATCTCCCATGACCTTTAGACACACATGACCTGTAAGTGATGGTACATTACCTCAAGTCCTGGTGCTGCATGTCTGAAGAACTTGCAATTCAATCTATGATGCAACACTGTGAATTATGAAAAATAATTAATATTCTGACAAACTGTAAATTACTGGACTTAACAATGTATTCAGCATTTAAAAAAAGATCATGTATGTATTAGTGTCTGCCAAATGTACCACTGTCAGGATAATGTCATTCCATGTAAGTTTATAGCTTTTCTTAATGGAACACTCCCAGTGCTGCTGTGGTTATTGTGCCAGGAGTGCTCTGGTGCATTAGAGTATAGTAGTGGAGCTGTTTTACAATGTTTTTTACCCCATACCAGGGTATTCGGGAGACCCTTCATGCCAGTACTACAACCTTCACAGAACACAGGAAGTTTTCTGCTCTGAGTTAAGTCTGCTAAGCAGGAGCTCTCCTGACTGCAGAGAGCAGTGAGGAGCAGCACTTGGCAGACCCCAGATAATATGTCAAAATATTCTTGAATGGTTTGATTGTTTACAATGGAGAGGGCCAGGGTACTCTTGGCACCATAACCACTGCATCAGTAAGTAGTGGTTATAGTGCTTTGAGGGTATTTTTTTTTTTTTTTGCTGTACATGATTCCTCTCTTGTAACTGTCATTAGTCGAATACTACCTTTACCTTTTGTGTCATTTTACCCCACTCCCTCTAGCATGTAAGCTCATTGAGCAGGGCCCTCAACCCCTCTGTTCCTGTGTGTCAAACTTGTCTGGTTACAACTACATGTCTGTTTGTCCACCCACTGTAAAGCGCTGCAGAATTTGTTGACGCTGTATAAATAATAACATAATAATAATAATAATTACACATTTTATTTATTACTTGCCTGAAAAGTTCTTTTTTTGTCCACAATAAATTCATAACTCCTAGAAACATCAGAAAATCTCTGCTTTTTCATTTTAGTTGCAAACAATCACTGAAATCTAAGAGTTCTTCAAAGTATTGTGTGTTACATTATATTTAAAAAAAATTACCACCTTGAGCATTTCTTCCTATCATAGTTTAATAAAAGTTCTCTTGCACCTTCGTAAGTAGTTAAACATACAATATTATTTATACGTGACATTGTAGAGTAATTACGCAGAGTGTGCAAAGACAAGCATTTTACAATTCTCTTAGGATCAGAAAATTATTTCTGTTTGGCAGATTTCAGAGCAAATGTTACAGTAGTGTTCATTAGTAATAGTACCTGAAGAGGAACAGCTGTCTTTTAAATGTTGGAAGCTGTCAATTTTTCTCACTGCCCTGTCACTGAAACCCTTCTGTGACTTAAAAAAATTAGTATTTTCTCATGCTTTTACCTAAACACAGAACTTGGCAGCCATTATTTAATTGTAATCCTCAGCAAAGGAGGTGGTGGGCGAATATTTTTTCCTACAAACTCTTATATAAACCTCACCAATCTCATGCTATTTATTTTGTGTAATGCTGGAAATCACATACAAATTCTTCACAGTCCAGGCTAAGTGCACAATTTGAGGTATTTACATTTTATGTGTGGTTTACTCAATTTGTTTTTTTTACATTATTTATTGAATGATTAAAGGACCACTCTAGGCACCCAGACCACTTCAGCTTAATGAAGTGGTCTGGGTGCCTGGTCTAGCGAGGGTTAACCCATTTTTTTAATAAACATAGCAGTTTCATAGAAACTGCTATGTTTATAAATGGGTTAATCCAGCATCTAAAGCCTCTAGTGGCTGTCTCATTGACAGTTTGCGTGCGTTTGCGTGCTTCTCACTGTGAAATTCACAGTGAGAAGACGCCAGCGTCCATAGGAAAGCATTATGAATGTTTTCCTATGAGACTGGCTGAATGTGCGCGCAGCTCCTGCCGCGTATGCACATTCAGCCGAAGAGGAGGAGAAGAGACGGAGAGGAGGAGGAGAGCTCCCCACCCAGCGCTGGAGAAAGGTGAGTGTTTAACCCCTTCCTCTCCCCAGATCCCGGCGGGGCACCCTCAGGGCACTATAGTGCCATGAAAACGAGTATGTTTTCCTGGCACTATAGTGGTCCATTAAGCTTTTTAAGAGAAATGTGCAAAGTATTGATAAAGATAGTTTTTCACATCCATCTCCTCAAAACACCAACGATTACTATGTTAGAATTCATTTATTACAAACCCAAACGAAGGTGCAATCGGGATGTTTTTATATTATATTGAAAATGAATGATAGCGATGCTAAACCCTCCCACAGGTATAGACAAACAGGTGGGGGATCATACTATCCTATACTTACAGAGAAACAGACTACCATTCCCACACTCTCCCTTAAATGCATTCATGCCGAAATTCTCACTTCTGTAGATATGTATAATTATGTACAGTGTTTTATAGGGATAAGCGTGATACCAACAGCGTATATACCTCATATAATGCATGTCATCATAGTCCATTATACCCACACTAATTTATGTACACACCATCTTTAGAGTAACCCTTTTAGGGCCACCTGATGGTCTATGCCATCAAGCAGTGTAAGGCATTAACACCCAGTGATGGCATAGATTGTCATGCTGTAAAGGTACCAGCAGGGGTCAAATCAACAATGAAACCAAGGATCCCCAGGTATCTTCCAATATCTGGGGATGTGTGAGAAAGGAAATACTTCTACTGATGTCAATGGATTATGGATTATGACTGACATTATGGGCTAGATTATGGGTTTGATTATGGATTGATTACGGGTAGAATTAGGGGTAGTACTGGAGGTTTCATTATGGGTAGGATTATGGGTTGTATTAGAAGTAGGAAAAGGGTTAGTTTTTTAGTCTGATTATAGGTTAAATTATGAGTATGATTATGGTATGATTATGTGTTATATTATGCGTTGAAATATGGGTTGGATTAAGAGTTGGATTAAGGGTTAAACTGAGGGTAGGAGTAGGGCAGGATTAAGGGAAAAATGTATACATGTGGGGTATCATTGCACTGAAGAACAGGAGCAGATTACAAATATGGGGTGTTTACAATAGTGGAACATGTTTAATCTGTGAATTTTCCCAAAATAAAATGTGTGGGGAAAAAAAGGTAACTTGCTTTAACTTGGTTTGTGACAATATGGTTAACTGAAAAGTTATGCCTGGGGGATGTACTTTCTACAAATATTTGAGTTTGTGTAGTAGTTTTGAATTCTGTTACTACTATAAAAGTTGTAATCTTAGCATGACAAATTTTACAAAGTTGTATCTTTACAAACCACAATTCACTCCTTGCAATATTTGTTTAAAAGTTCCTAAAATTAATTGAATCCCTAGATGTATTGGGCATTTTAATAATCAGGGCTAAGTAGTGAATCTAAGTTGAGTTAGTTTACCTGCACCTGTCGTGTAGAAATAATTAAATGTAAAACTGAAAAAAATGTGTTTTTCTTTTTCTTTTTCCAGTTGTTTAATATTTTATCCCTATTTATTATTGTGTAATGTATACATATAGGGTATAAAAAGAAATCCATATTTGTCCTTTAAAAAATAATATATATATATATATATATATATATATATATATATATTTATATGTATGGGTGTACCTAAACAGAAATAGGAGAAATTATGGTAGAATAAACATAAGTCAAAAGTGACAAGTGACAAAAAGACCTTAGGCACAATTGCGTCACATCACAAAATTGCCATGGTCCTTAAAGGTTTAGGCCAGATCATTTTGGTTGTGGAGTATATGTTTCAGTCCTATTTTTTATTATTATTATTATTATTATTATTATTATTATTATTATTATTATTATATTGGTGATATCTTTAAACATACCCCACAGTTGTATACCCCAGAATCTCCATCTTCTGACAGCTAAGACATTCAGCACATATTATGCTCATAGTTCATGCATGCCTACACTTATGACAATTTACATGTCAGCTCTCAGAGATTGATCAGTAAATCACAAATGGCCCTTTGACCACCCTATATTGATGGTGTAGACGATCATGACTAGGGGTGAATTTATCCAACCCTTCTGCTTGCTACACTCATGTTTTTTCATTTGTATAAGCATATAATTATCTGTTTATAAAATACTGGTTTGTTCAAGAGGAACTTTTTATTTAGATCTTTTATTTTTATTTCTACAACCATAGTCATGCCTACTTGATAACGAATGCAAGTTTACAAAGGAATAACATGTTCTTTTTGATTTGAAGACTGTGTTCCAAAACCATTAATGCTTGATGAATCCAGGTCCAGATAATTAACCTTATTCACCCCTGTTAACAACTCAATAACAATTCACACCTCAGTGTTATCAGTGCTCGGCTGGGTAGCCGCCATTCGCATGCATGAACACATGGTGGTGGCCATCTTGTTCGCACGAACGCAGGCAGCAGTTTTTGGTCGTCCAGTGCATGGAACTAAAATCGGATACTCGAACTCGCGAACACCACTGAACTTCCATCCTCGCCTTCGTTTGTTTCTTTACATCCTGGAAGAGCACTGTTCGATGCAATCGTTCGCATGGATTAGGTGAACACTATCTGCCTATCCTGCAGCACAAAGTCTATTAAAGGAAAGAACTGAAACAAAAAGGTAATGCATTGGGCATTTGCCCTTTCGTTTCATATAAAGTTTGTATATAGGATGTTTAATTGTTTATGTTATAGTAAACGAATACGAAAAAGTCGGAAAATTGGGACGAAATCATATTAGCTTGATAACGAATGCACATGTCTAGTTCATACCTAATATCAGAACTAAAATATAGGACAGTACAATGCTCTCTCTTTTAGGGCATCCTGCATATGATGGTTCAATTCCAAAGCCAATAGGTGACATAAGACAGCCTTTTAGAGCAGAGAAAGCATGTCTGGGAGGTCTATAACAATGATGCTGCTAAAATTTTGTAAAACAAAACATTCTCCAAAATCGTCACACATTGGGATGAAATTAGATAACTCAATTGCAATGGTTTAAATATCACGTACATTTAGAAAGATTTAAAGTTTTTATGAACATTGACATTGAAAGACAGAGAATTTGCAATAAATATAGAAGTCCACTACATAGCTTTATTTATTTCTATCTACGCCTATATTTTTTCTGTGCGAAAAAATAACAAACAAACCAAATATTCTCTTCTGCTGTTTCTGAACATGTTCCAGAATGTTTTACTCATGTGAAATGGTCCATGATCTCTGTTCTGTTACAAAGAAAGAGCATTTAATACGTTCATAGATTATGCTCTTTCAACCATCTTTTAATGCCCTTATTCTTTAGGAAGTAGATGCACTAAATTAATTTATTTCTAATAGATGACTCATAAGATGGGATATTTCATTTTAAGGTAAGACTTCACTCACTTAAAAGATGATGGGTTAATGTACCCAGTGGTCCAGGAATACAAACCCCAGGCAGGTAACAATGGGACCAGTCACTCCAAATTACAAAGTTGCATTAAAAAGAAGCACAGAACAATGTTTCATCTGACATAGCAGCCTTTATGATACCTAGTATTTGAAGGGAAAAAAACAGACATTGTGCTATGCCCAGCTATATGCAATTTAAAAGAAATGTTTCCTTTGTAGAAGAATCATTAGTTTAAGGAATATTTAAATTGGAGTATCTATAACTTCTAAAGAGGCCAGTCTAGCTTTTATCCAAGTCATGTCTAAATCTGCAAATAATTTATATATATATATATATATATATATATATATATATATTTATATATATATATATATATATATATATATATATATATATATCTAGATTGTGTTAATAGAATTCCAAGTGCTAGAAGATACACATGCTTTTTTTGTAGCATCTCCATTTGGTCATCTATATGTGAGATTACTATACAGGGAGTGCAGAATTATTAGGCAAATGAGTATTTTGACCACATCATCCTCTTTATGCATGTTGTCTTACTCCAAGCTGTATAGGCTCGAAAGCCTACTACCAATTAAGCATATTAGGTGATGTGCATCTCTGTAATGAGAAGGGGTGTGGTCTAATGACATCAACACCCTATATCAGGTGTGCATAATTATTAGGCAACTTCCTTTCCTTTGGCAAAATGGGTCAAAAGAAGGACTTCACAGGCTCAGAAAAGTCAAAAATAGTGAGATATCTTGCAGAGGGATGCAGCACTCTTAAAATTGCAAAGCTTCTGAAGCGTGATCATCGAACAATCAAGCGTTTCATTCAAAATAGTCAACAGGGTCGCAAGAAGCGTGTGGAAAAACCAAGGCGCAAAATAACTGCCCATGAACTGAGAAAAGTCAAGCGTGCAGCTGCCACGATGCCACTTGCCACCAGTTTGCCATATTTCAGAGCTGCAACATCACTGGAGTGCCCAAAAGCACAAGGTGTGCAATACTCAAAGACATGGCCAAGGTAAGAAAGGCTGAAAGACGACCACCACTAAACAAGACACACAAGCTGAAACGTCAAGACTGGGCCAAGAAATATCTCAAGACTGATTTTTCTAAGGTTTTATGGACTGATGAAATGAGAGTGAGTCTTGATGGGCCAGATGGATGGGCCCGTGGCTGGATTGGTAAAGGGCAGAGAGCTCCAGTCCGACTCCAGCAAGGTGGAGGTGGAGTACTGGTTTGGGCTGGTATCATCAAAGATGAGCTTGTGGGGCCTTTTCGGGTTGAGGATGGAGTCAAGCTCAACTCCCAGTCCTACTGCCAGTTCCTGGAAGACACCTTCTTCAAGCAGTGGTACAGGAAGAAGTCTGCATCCTTCAAGAAAAACATGATTTTCATGCAGGACAATGCTCCATCACACGCGTCCAAGTACTCCACAGCGTGGCTGGCAAGAAAGGGTATAAAAGAAGAAAATCTAATGACATGGCCTCCTTGTTCCCCTGATCTGAACCCCATTGAGAACCTGTGGTCCATCATCAAATGTGAGATTTACAAGGAGGGAAAACAGTACACCTCTCTGAACAGTGTCTGGGAGGCTGTGGTTGCTGCTGCACGCAATGTTGATGGTGAACAGATCAAAACACTGACAGAATCCATGGATGGCAGGCTTTTGAGTGTCCTTGCAAAGAAAGGTGGCTATATTGGTCACTGATTTGTTTTGTTTTTGAATGTCAGAAATGTATATTTGTGAATGTTGAGATGTTATATTGGTTTCACTGGTAATAATAAATAATTGAAATGGGTATATATTTGTTTTTTGTTAAGTTGCCTAATAATTATGCACAGTAATAGTCACCTGCACACACACAGATATCCCCCTAACATAGCTAAAACTAAAAACAAACTAAAAACTACTTCCAAAAATATTCAGCTTTGATATTAATGAGTTTTTTGGGTTCATTGAGAACATGGTTGTTGTTCAATAATAAAATTAATCCTCAAAAATACAACTTGCCTAATAATTCTGCACTCCCTGTATTCTCATTACTCCCAATCAATTGTATTAGACAGTGTCCTATAAATATGTGCTAAGTATTTGACTTTGCCACATTAAAGTATCAATCAATCAATCAATCAGTTCATCAATTATAATTTTTTCATCAATTATCTTTTTTTAGCTCCATGGTTGGAACTCCGTTATGAATTATGAAACAAACAAAGCAGTTTTGTTCAATGTCTGTTTAGTTTGTTTCATGATTAGTTCATATCGCGTTTTGTGGTTCAATATTTCAGATACATCGCTGATCTCACAAATTTCAAATGAATTTCAATTCGTATGGAACCAATTGTGCAAGTCTAGTACTTGTCATAGCAGAACACATTTGCATACCTTGTGGAACTGTTCTTAAGTAATAACAATAGTTTATTCACAAGATATATCAACTTTTATTTATTTACTAAAAAAACATTCCATGCAAACCTCATAAACCTATTGCCATGTGTTTGCTGGTCAGCAGAGAAGTTTTTTTTTCCAAGAAGATACGATCACCCTTCATCCTATTGTCTCTTCTTGAACTCCCATCTCTCTAACACCTTCGCCTCCTCTCTTTTTCACTGTTGACTCATCTGGACAATTCTCATGGACTTAAAGGTCCACTTCCTGGTTCTTAAACCCTTCCACTAGGTTTGACTCTCAGCATTTTAGCCTTCTGTCATGGGTCCTCTCTTTTCTCACCCTTTCAAGCAAAGCCAATATTCATCAAGTGTTCCTGCTTTTTGTTATGAATTGTTTCAGTATTTCAGGCAAAGCCTCTATGAATGAGATATCTATGGGTCCTTTGTCGATATATAATTAAGCTCTCTGTTAACAAACATTCAAAGCTAAAAAGAATAAACATAGAAACTATATACATGTATGGAACCTAGCAAAGCAGAACTAAATTTAGGAATGAGTCTAGAAAAACATTGAAGGTTACCAGTGTAGCGGAGCTGCAATATTATATCCCAAGATCTCCGCTGGTATAGAAGGTAATCCAAAGTAAAGCGCTGGAAAAGAAGGCAATATCCCAAATCCCCCAGTAACCGGACAAAACACAGTTCAGGGAGTCAACTGACAATTTTATTCACGGCTCCAGGAGTCAACTGACAATTTTATTCACGGCTCCAGGAGTCAATTGACATGCTCTCTATTCTAAAACACACAAATACATTTTTACACCAGGTTAACACAGCTATTTCAGACAACCTTTAAATGTTCTGCAATATGACCTAAAGTGGCTAGGTTTGCCACAACCAATAAGGGGCATTTTCCTTTGTCCAGGTAAGCAAAGCCAGGTATTAACCAGATATCAGTCCAGAAACAGCAAAGATAGCAAGCAAAGAGATTATCCAGGAAGCAGGGTCCAGGTAAGCAAATGGATCAGATGAAAGTCAGAACCTATGATTCCTACAAGTGCTTTAAACAATGAAGGCAAATCAGGCAAGTGAATTGACTTTCATAGTGCGAAGAACTTTGCTGGGATCCTCACACTATGCCAGTTTCAAGAGTGGCTTGCTGAGCTCATTCAATTCACTAGCAAGTAAGACACAGATGTTCAAGTCCTATTAGAACCATCTTGTTGATTACTGCTTTGATTTCTTTTTGGTCTGGGGTTTTGATTTCTGACAATTTTACATAAAAATAACAATTCTCTGCGATTATGTTAAAAATGAAGTCTAATCATTAAATATTTTGTCCACTGGTATTTTCATGTAATTACAGAGCTCTGGAGAAACAGTGAGCATTTTGAAAAACTAAATAAGAAACTTCATGTTTGAATGTTTTCCTAAAAATTGGAACACGTGACATCATACAGGGAGGTCAAATTGAATGTGAATCCTACAAACTCTTTAAATAGACTTGAGATTTTCATATCCCACAATTGCACATAATGGAAATTATTAACAGTAACCTGTTTAATTGGACTATTAACAATAACCTCAGTTAACCTAGAGAGAAGTGCTCAGATTAATGTTTCTGCTGTAGCTTTTGGTCACGAACTGCATTGCCTGTATATCAGTGTATAACAATGGATGCCAGCCAACACTGTGGTGAATAGTTGCACACATGTATTCTGATCTTATTCCAGATTATGGTTACAAGCTTGGATTTTGCACTATTACTGCATGCCTGGGTTCTGAACCATAGTTCTGGACTGTGGTTGCAGGTCTGGACTCCAGGCCATTGTAGTCCATGTTAGAGCCAATTTTAATAAGAAGTGTATCCTAATATTAAACATGAAGTGAGATAAAGTTATTTTACATTCTTTTTAAACAGAGTTAACCATTAATTGTAGAACAACATATGCAAAGGTTCTCTGTAGCATTACTGGGAGAACACTGACATGTCAAAAAGGAAAACTGCAGTTTTGTATGTTCACTCCTTCACGCAGTTCATTAACAAGTAGCATTGCAACCTTAAATGGTCATTTAGCCAAGCTATTTCCCAGGGCATGGTTCCCATTAGCAAAGGCACTACATATTAGAGAACATCTGTTGTCTGCAGCAGGAGGTCCAGACAGGATCCTACAGCTTCATATAGCCATAGGCTACTTATAATTCTGACATAACAAGACAAAGAGTTCAATGAGCATTAAAAAGGATGGATAAAGTTTCCTTAAGAGATAATGCAACTTTGGCCACTGTTTAGATAAATATGCCAGTCTTCCACAAACAAGTCTCACCACAAAACAAAATTACTCTAGGTCCTCGATGGCCAAGCTTTCCAATTTCAGGATGGGAACTGTCGTTCTCATAATGCTCAGCCATTCGTCCCACAAAAACTGAAGTGCCCAGGGTGGTTATAAATAATGAAATGTAACAAAAAACAAGAAGCAAATATGATTTAAACATTTTAATGTGGTCTAGTCGCACTCACGGGAATGAAACAGTGCATTCAACCCAGCATATAAACCAAAACAAAATGTGTGAGATGCATGACTTTTTACTAACAAGATCAACTTTTCATTTTTCTTGTCACTTTGGGAGACATAAAATAATGAGATATTTCAAAATATCACTAGGTTTAGAGTAAAAAGAAACATTATTACAGTTTTAGCTATGAATTGCTTGTATCAGTCCCTGGGAAGATGTAGAAGCATTATTGGTTTTCATGCTTTTTGGTGGGTTTACTTGGGAATAATTGTGTTGATATTGTTTAAGGTAACAAATAAGTTTGAGTGTAATCAAAGTACACAAATATTTGATGTACTTAAATGTCTCAATTCTTTTAACTTTTGACATTAGACAGCTATTTTATTTCCTACTGTGAAGCTATACCTTAAATATACTAATAATTGCATCAAAGGATTTAGCCAGGAAGGGAACATTTAGCTTTAAAGTTTGTCCAGGAGGATTGATGACATTATTACCCAGCTGTGTGACGTTTATCTTACTGGCCTCTGAAGTATGAAAGACCCTGATTCAAACTTCCTGTCTCAAAAGGTATTATAGATACTGTATGTAGAGCCCTAACTACAAAACTGCATATACCAGCCAAATATGCAAAATAACCTGTTCACACGTCTACTTGCATAGGATGCATTTTAATGATTTATATTTTTTTAACTGATTATTTTCTGTCTTTACAGTCCTAGGAGAAATGTCTAAGCTCCCAGCATCAAGGCAGTTATTACAATTAAATGAAATTATTATAATTATTATTTAAAAGTCAGTTAGAATCTATTATTGTTAGATAGATATAAATCATGTAATTGCTCCATACTGGTAAAATTACTGCATGGTACGGCAAGAGTGGGCATTTGTAGTAGTTTCTCTAACTTCTCCGTGAACACAACATCTGATGTTCCTATAGATGTTTCATGATGTGTAATTTTGCAATATATCTACTTGTGACTTACATGTTACCACATAAGTCCACATCTTTATATAATTTTTTAATTTTTTATTATAGAAATATTTATTAGATATTTTCAAATATAACAAACATACAATCACAAATCATCAAAAATATGTTATTGATCTCCCAATACTTCAATATATCACAGTATTCTTATTATCTAAAACACATATTGGTAAATCTGTTTTAGAGTTCAATTAATCAAAAGCATTAACAAACTTCATTACATAAAAACAAACAAAAAACACGATGGTCTTAAACATCGAAGATACAGTAAGAAAGAAAAATACAGTAAGGGGTATCCATTACAATATTCCATAATACATATTCTACATATAATTCCATATTTATGCCATGGGTCCCTAATGTATGCTCCCACAGGAAAAGGGGAGATAGAGAGATGATGGGGGAGCATCCTAAAATGCTATATGAGACTGCTAAGGACCATCTCATTTAATATATGTATATACTAAGTTTCTTGGATAAAGTTATTCCATATATTCCATCCATATTTAATTATAGACAGGGGCTCTCTCTCCATTTTTATTTTTATATAATTTTAATCAAAGATAAACATTCGTCACAAACAACACATGTAGCAAAAAAAAGCAAAAGTAGTTTGCCTGTACACTAATGAAGATGACTGCCTGAACGATTTCTCCATGGCACCTTGTGGAATGTAAGTGCACATTTCCTGCAAATAAACAGCATAGTTCTGGCAAATGGGGACACTTGAAGACTCTGATCACACAAAAA